AAGAGAAGAGATTTTACAGACATCTGAATAGAAACTTAAAAAACACTATGAATGTAGTGAGGCAAATAAACAAATACGAAATCTGAAAATAGAATGATAAATAATGAATATAATGAGCTTAAATAACAAAAACAGACAATCTAAAATAGAAAACTGATAACACTATGAATGTGGATGAGCTTAAAATAACCAAATAAAGATATTTGAATAGAACACTGATATCACTATGAATGTGATGAACTTAAATAACAATAAAGATATTTGAATAGACATGATAAAACTATAATTTATAATGAACTTAAATAACAAATACAGAATATTTGAATAGACACTGATAACACTATAAATATAATGAACTTAAATAACAAAATACAGACATCTAAAATACACTGACAATACTATGAATGTAATGTTTAAGGTTTTCATAATGACCATTGTTTTTGGGCTGAAGACTGTCATAAGCACAATTACAAGGCCATTATGAAACGCTTAATTAGTGGAGAATTTTATTAAAACTTAATACACATATCTAAATAGTTAAGCACTTAAGTGAACAAAATATAACTAATGTGAAATTTTCGTTGATGTGAGGTATTGCAAATGAGATTATTGTTTTAAAAAATGTCTCGAAAAACCGACCTTGCAACAATTCAAAAATGGCGGTTTTTTTCCAATGAAAAAAAAGCAGATTTTATAATGGCAAGCTGGAGAGCCAATTAAAATTCTCTAATATCATAATAGTCGAGATTTCTATTATAAGGTTTGTACTTTTTGTCATAATGGTCTCGTTTTATGTACATAATGTCGTGGTGAAACTTCATATTAGCCTTATATTTGAAGTGAAAACGTTACCTCATATTGAAAAAAGTTAATGAATAATCTGATATAATCAAATGTATGATAAAGCGAGTAAAAACATAAAGCATATTATAGTAAATATAAAGCATATATAAATTTTCTATATTTATCACAATTTTACCATTATTTCTAGCATACGGATGTTTGAAAATATGATATTAAATTAAACTGCCACAACATGTGTCAAGTGCAGAGTGGCAAGCTGGTGATTCCAGGGGACATTAAGTGTTAAAATTGAGTAGCGCACAAGCCAGTGCTAGGGGACGTGAGGGATGTTGCCTCGGTTTCATTACCCCTTATGGACAGACTGAATCATACCAAGTCTGCAATCTTCTTGTTATTTTGTTGTTTTTTATGCTTCCGAGGTATCACCCTCTTTTCAGATTTTTATATATATTTTACTAGGGTGATCTTTGCAAATGGGGCTACCTACATATAATTTAGACTTGTTTCTTAGTTGTTTTTTTTTTTTTCTATTCCTTTTTAATGATTTTAATATCAAAGTACTGTTATGCCACACAACAAACAATACAGTGTTTGGTGAGAATGTACAGTAGAATATTGAATGGGTAACTTCCGTTTGTAAAACACATTACTGTCTTTCATAAACAAAGTGTGAATTTTTTCAGCTTAATTCACAGTCGATATACAATATATACTAGGCTTAATAATTACAAAACTCATTTTGGAATATAATTATCACTATTTTATATGGTATATACCGTACATAAAAAAATACATTAAGCATATTGAATGCGAATATATTAATTCTCAACAATTTTGCATAATTAAATTTCAAACAAAAAGCATAATGAATTATGAACGACATTAACTTAAGCTCAGCTGCTTGTGATTTCAAAGCCAATTTCCCCTGTTATTCTGTAATTTCCATGAAGTTATTAAATTTCGACCACTTCTCCGCGTTAACGACATATTACATTGGAATTTTTTGATTTCTGCATTTTTAAAAAAAATACAAAACCTTTATATGTAAATAAAAACAATTATGATTTAACTAATTTCGTATCTTTCCTTTTTAGATAAATAGTTTTTTATTTAAAGACAATTTTTCGAAGCATCAAAATTAATTTTAGGTATATGTGTTACGCTATTAACAAAAAATATAGTTTAAACCACGTCAACCAGCGTGATTCACGTTGAAACCAATTCCATTGCCCGTGAGACGTTTTCTGTACTAGCTATAACTTTGCTAGGATTTTTTACGGCACATAAATTTTTGACAAAGCTTCAATCAATGTGAACTGGTCGAATTTACTTTTAAAATTAAAGAGTTCCATAATTAAACGAATCATCTAAGTTGGAAGTATTGTCTAATAAAAAAGCATAAGGTAACTATTTAACATATTTTACAATTCCTACGACTCTATATAAACTGTTGTAAGGTTATATCACCATCCATATCTGCCAATGATTTTATAATGCAGCAGTAATCCTTTCTTTTAAGGTAACTGAAAATAACCTCTCAAATACGTCAAGATTACGCAATGACGATCGACATGTACAATCGTGAAAAATAAGAATCTTAAAGTAAACTAAAACAACTATAAATAATATCAAAAATAGATTTTCAGCCCTTCTCAGTGTACATGTAAATAACAAAGTGACATAGTCGATATTGCATTGTTTTTGGTCAAAAGTTATTTCTTTAAATAGTGCTTTATTTTTTTTTCTTGTTTACTTTACCATGTTCATTTAAAAGGGGGGGGGGGTGGTAGCACGTTTTACTTATTTCTTAATATAAAAGAAATCTGTCAATAAAGAACATCTTGTCACAAGTAAGTGCTATTAATTTAGAAATGATTCAATAAGCTTCGAGTGAAAAAAGGGAGTTGCTTAGATTTCCAATGTAAGCATTTCCGACTACATTTCGGATTTACATTGAAGTCTGACGTTGTTGTCTGTTACGTCTTTACAAATTCGATGTTTGCAGTTAAGTAGATGAGGCTCGTCCCCTTGGCAATCGAATACCACGAAATTCCCAGAAAAGTCCATGTTTTTGAAATCGTGTTTCGGTTTTATATTTCTGTGAACAAACAAATCGAAACAAGTGATTATAACAAGGGGATATAAACTTCTGAAATTTTTATATCTGATACATGGTTTCAAAACATTCTATTTTGTTTTCTTTCTCTTTGTTTGGATTAAGGTTTTTTGATTTATGACTAAGTATTTAACATAATTAGAAAGGTTGATTACATAATAATTATGATAAAAATATCAATGTAATTCTGTTACGAATTGGAATAAAATAATATCCTGACAAAATCGTTGTTAAACTTTAAACAACGCGTTAATCAAAACCCGAGAAGACTACGAATGAATATATATATATGTTTGTTGTCGCAAAATAGGTTATATGAATTGTATAAACTTGCAAGACAGGGTACAGTTTTTTTGTTCATATACTGTTTTATATACAGCAACTAAAGTTTTAAAGTTTTATTCGTGATTGTTTACCATTACCCCACCATCGCACAATAATGAGATTTTGAAACGCAATATAACCATAGGCGAACAAAGTCTTAAGAAATCGTTTTAATACTAAAAAATTCGAATCAATTTGTACGCTACTGATTAGTTAACTGGGGCATTGTCCCTAAAAAAAGTGCCTATGATTTATACCGTCGCGTCTCCACTGGTGAATGAGAGAGAAACATCGCATCTTCGTTATTTCATTATCATTAAATCTATCTCGTATCATCAACGTTTTGCCATCTTAGCATCGTACGTCGTGTGTAAGGGTAAAATAAAAACTAATACCAAAGAGTATGTGAGAAGTTAGCAGTTAACAGTGAGCTAAGCAAAAAGGCATTGCGATTTATATAGGGAAATCAATGAATTGCTGTTCTGCTCAGCTGGGTAAGCAATCTAGCAGAGCATTCCAAAAAAAAGTGTAGAAATGCTTTGCTGGTATGCTCAGCTGGGTAAGCAATCTAGCAGGCCATTACTTAATATAGTGTAAAAATGCACTGCTGTTATGCTCAGTAGGCTAAGCAATCTATCGGGACATTCCGAAATATAGTGTTAAATTGCTCTGTTGTTATGCTCAGCTTGGTAAGCAATCTAGCGGGGCATTCAAAATATGGTGTAAACATGGTCTGCTGGTATGCTCAGCTGGCTAGGCAATCTGGGCAGGGCATTCCTAAATAAAGTGTAAAAATGCGTAGCTGTTATGCTCAGCTGGCTAAGCAATATAGCGGGACATTCCAAAATATGGTGTTAACATGGTCTGCTGGTATGCTCAGCTGGCTAGGCAATCTAGCAGGGCATTCCTAAATAAAGTGTAAAAATGCGTAGCTGTTTATGCTCAGCTGGCTAAGCAATCTAGCGGGACATTCCAAAATATAATGTAAAAATGCTCTGCTGAATTGGTCAGCTGGCTAGGCAATCTAGAAGAGCATTCTAATTAAATAGTGTTAAAAATGCTCAGCTGGCTAGGCAATCCAGCAAAGCATTCTGAAAATTAGTGTAAAAATGTTCTGCTGGAATGCTGAGCTGGGCAAACTAGCAGGGCATTCTTAAATAAAGTATAAATTTCGTTGGTCTGAAAACTGATTATTTGGCACTCGTAGACTTTCTGAAATTCTAGTGCCAATGCAGATAATGACATTTTTGACTTCTTCGGGACCTCAAGTGTATTTCTTTGGTCTCCGACTGATTCTGGGACGATCGCAGACTTTCAGGAATCTTTTGTGTCAATGCAGATAATGACATTTGTGAAGTTTTAGGACCATCCAGAATCCATTTCGTTGGTCTGCGAATGTTTCTGGAACACTTGCAGACTTTCATAAAAATTTTCGGTGCCATGGAGATAATGAACATTTTTACTTCAGAAGGACCCTCCTGAGAGTCTATTCGTTGTTTTTGCTGCGACTGATTCTGAGTCCCTCGCAGACTTTCAGGAAAATTTTGGTCAATGCAGATAATGACATTTTTTACTTCTAGGGACCATCCAGGATCTGCGACTTAATCTTGGAAGTCACAAGACCTTTCAGGAAGTGTTGGTTCCAATAGAGATAATTACAAATTGAAGACATTTTTGACCATCCAGAGTCTTTTTTTCGTTGGTCTGCGCGCTGATTATTTAGGCATTGCAGGATTTCAGGGAATTTTTTGGTGCTAATGCAGATAATGATATTTAGGGTAAAAACTGCTCTGCTTATGAATAAGGGGTCTTAAAAAGTAAAAAAAAATCATGATCTGCAATGGCAAACTAAACAATCCTGAAAGTCTGCGAGTCTCAAGGAATCAGTCGCAGACCCCAGAAAATGTACTCTGGTGGTTCCCTTAAAGTCATAAATGACATTATCTCCATTGTCATCAAAATTCCTGAAAGTCTGCAAGTGTCCCAAAAGCAGTCGCATACCAGCGAAATGAACTTTGGTAGGTCGCTAGAAAAGTCAAAATGTCTCTAACTCCATTGGCACAAGAGATTCCTGAAAGTCTGGGAATGTCCCCAGAATCAGTCGCAGACCATAAAAAATGGACTCTGGCGGGTCCCTAGAAGTAAAAATTGCCATCATCTCTATTGGCACCAAAAACTTTCCTGAAAGTCTGCGAGAGTCCAACAATACGCTGCAGACCAATGAAATGGACTATTAAGGGTCCCCTAGAAGTCAAAAATATGATTATTTTCCATTGGCACCAAAACATTCCTGAAAGTCTGTGAGTGTCCAAGAATCAGTCGCAGACAACCAAAATGGACTCTTGAGGGTCCTAGAAGTCTTAATTGTCAATATCAGCATTGGCACCAAAATTCCTGAAAGTCTGCGAGTGTCCTTCAAAAAGTCGCCAGGACAATAAAATAGTCTCTTAAAAGGTCCTTAGAAGTCAAAAAATATCATTATTTCTATTGGCACGAAAAATTCCTGAAAGTCTGCGAGTGCCTCAGAATTGCCTAGAAGTCGAAAATGTCAATAAAAACTTTGGGAACAAAAAATCCTGGAACTCAGAATCAGTCTGCCAACTGAGCATTCCACCAGAGCATTTTTTAATATATTTCGGAATGCCCTGCTAGATTGCCTAGCCAGCTTATCATTCCACCAGAGCATTTTTTACACCATATTTAGTAATGCCCTGCTAGATTGCCTAGCCAGCTGAGCATTCCACCAAAGCATTTTTCACTATATTAAGGAATGCTCTGCTATAGTGCCTAGCCAGCTGAGCATTCCAGCAGAGCATTTTTACACTATATCTAGTAATGGTTTGCTAGATTGCCTAGCCAGCTAAGCTTTCCAGCAGAGCATTTTACACTAATATTAGTAATGTCCTGCTAGATTGCCTACCCAGCTGAGCATTCAAGCAAAGCATTTTTACACTATATTTAGTAATGCTCTGCTAGATTGCCAAGCCAGCTTAGCATTCCAGCAAAGCATTTTTTCACTTTATTTAGGAATGCCCTGCTAGATTGCCTAGCCAGCTTAGCATTCCAGCAAAGCCATTTTTACACTTTATTTAGTAATGCCCTGCTAGATTGCCTAGCCAGCTGAGCATTCCAGCAGAACATTTTTACACCTATATTTAGTAATGCTCTGCTAGATTGCCTAGCCAGCTTAGCATTCCAGAATAGCATTTGTACCACTATATTTAGTAATGTCCTGCTAAATTGCCTAGCCAACTTAGCAATTCCAGCAGAGCATTTTTTACACTATATTTAGTAATGCTCTGCTAGATTGCCTAGCCAGCTTAGCATTCAAGCAGAATATTTTTACACTATATTTAGTAATGCTCTGCTAGATTGCCTAGCCAGCTTAGCATTCCAGCAGAGCATTTTCACACTATATCTAGTAATGCTCTGCTAGATTGCCTAGCCAACTTAGCATTACAGAATAGCATTTGCTCACTATGTTTAGTAATGTCCTGCTAGATTGCCTAGTCATCTTAGCATTCGAGCAGAGCATTTTTACACTATATTTAGTAATGCTCTGCTAGATTGCCTAGCCAGCTTAGCATATGAGCAGAGCATTTTCTCACTATATTTAGTAATGCCCTGCTAGATTGCCTAGCCAGCTTAGCTAGCCAGCTGAGCATTCCAGCAGAGCATTTTAACACTATATTTAGTAATGCACTGCTAGATTGTCTAGCCAGTTGAGCGTTCCAGCAGAACATTTTTTCACTAAAGGTAGGAATGCTCTGCTAGATTGCGAAGACAGCTGAGTATCAGAGCATTTTTACACTATATTTAGGAATGCCCTGCTAGATGCCCAAAACAACTGAGCATTACAGCAGATCATTTCCTTCGCTATATAAATTGAAATGCCTTTTTGCTTAGCTCACTGTTCACTGCTTACTTCTCACATACTACCAAAGAAGTGACTTTGTAATCAACAGAGTTATTTGAAGACCTTATTCTTTATAACTGTTTCAAAAACAATCAAAGTACATAAGAAATCTGCGTCCGCGCAGTCTGATCAGGATCCATGCTGTTCGCTATCAGTTTCACTACTTGTTATAGACTTTGTAAGCGAACAGCATGGATCCTGATTAGACTGCGCTGATGCGCAGGCTGGTCTGGATCCATGCTGGTCGCAAACCCACTATGTTTGTTTTGTCGTGACACGGCTCAAATATGTTATGAAAAAATAAACGATAAAGGATATTCAAGTATTTTTCTCTTTAAGTATGGTTTTTTTTAATCAAGTAGTATGAAAAACAAATATTTCGTGGATGGCATTGGCCACAAAAAATACAAAAAGAAATCTCGTATTAAAAGGGGAAAAAACAAAGTTAAAATTTCTGTTTCTATTTTTATCTAACAAATGTTAATACTCTTCTTTTAAAGTAGTTAATTGACTGTTTTTAGAGGAAAGTAGTTTAAAAAATTGCAGTGAAAGTACGAAAATATGACTGTGTCACTGCAGTGAAAAATAATTTTTTACAATCAAAATATAGAAAACAAAAATGTGCATTTTATGCCAATAGTTTTTTTTCTCCACATTTCATTATTAAACATATAATTAACTTTCTGATCATATTATTAAATTGAAAATAAGAAAAGAGTAATGCGTACGCTTAAAAAGTATATAGTCATGGGAGTATTTATCAAACGTGTTAACATTTAAATAACTTACGACTTATCTGGAAACATTGAGCGGCATGCAACTTTTGATTCTTTTTCAATCCATGCGTGTCCATTGCTGTTGCATTTCTTACCGACCGGAGACCACGTGCGCCAAAATTTTACCCATAAAAACTCCTTTTTTTGCGGTGATATCAGATTTTCCGTTGATGGTAATACAGACGAACGTGTGATATATTTAAATGATCCAGCTGCAAAAAGTTAATTAAAATGAGAACGTCCGTCACTTTTAGTGCTGTTACTGTTTCGTTACTCTGTTTTGTTTGTTTGGATGCTTATTTCTCAATTTCAATGTATAGCAATGTACATTAAATATATGAAACATTTGGGTGGAATAAACGACGTTGAGATTGATTTTCATCCACAAGCAAAAAAGGCCTTATCCCAAGGGCCAGTCTTGTTTGCTATTACATGCTACTGTCAGCGCAATTTGTAACGTAATTATCTTCAGTGTCTTGTGTAATAATTAAACAAAAGCTAAATCTCGCGCAACATTTCAAAGATCTTAATAAACTAACATTATAGCCACGAAGACAAAAATACAGAACGGAACATGACCGAAAAAAGATAAAAGAGTTACACACCCAACCACAACATCAGGGCACCCAGACGGCACCAAAATTTTAATAATCTCCCCTATATAGTTTTCACTCTCTACATATAATATATCATTTTTTTAATCTAGAATACGAGTTAAAATCAAATATGATGTTGTCTGCATGCTATACAAATTAATAAATTGTCCAAATGAAACACAAAACGTTTTCAATTAGTGAACATACAAATACCAATATAATTTATTTAAAAACTTTGCCATCACTGCTGTTGAATTTGAAGCAAATTTAAGCCATCATTGATCTTTTACTATCTTCCGTACCCGTGTAGATACATATCCCAAATGATTGAAATGCAAAAAGTTACCAATTAGAGAACATACAAATACCAATATAATTTATTTAAAATACTTTACCATCTCTGATGTTTGATTGGAAGCAAATTAAAACCATCTTTAGTTTTTGACTCTCTTTCGTGCTCTTGTAGATGCAGTCCCCTAATGTTTTCTCAGTTCCATTACAATCTATATCCACCGCAATACTCCTGGTGTTAGGTGATTCTTTGTGCCGAAGAAGTCTTATTGAGCCGCCGAATCTATAACAAACATTCAGACAGATATTTCAAATATCAAAACAATTTTAGGTAAACTTGTGCGGAGCACTTCTCGAGCTGAAAAAAGCTTCAACAATTGAACTGAGAGAAATTAAACACGTGAATGTACTCACACTGAAGGAAGTCTGTTTTAAAAACTCATTTATTTTTTTTAAGTTACAGAAATTATATCTTTTAGCAATGTTCAATCTCTTAGAATATTTAAACAACGATATGGACATTTTATTAAACCAATATATTGTCATATATATAACGTATGTCATTTAACGAATTTAATAAGTTTGTATCATGTGTTAAGTCAATAAATATAGTTTTCATAAAAATTATTGAATAATGAGATTTATTACGAACTACAAATAATTGATCTATAAAACGACATTGTTTACTCGATTGTTTATTTTAATGCACTTGTAAACCCCATCCTTCGATTGTGGTTCTCTCGCATTGCAAACTCATCATCATCATAATCATCATCACCACCACTATCATCATCACCACCACTATCATCATCATAAATATCATCACCACCAACACCATCATTATTATTATTATTATTATTATTATTATTATGTAACATCATACGATATTTTTCGAAGACGTCTTATTGATCCGTCGTATATATAACAAACACACAGACAGATATACTTCGACCTATATGCAATGAACACCAGGGTCCGAGGTTGTAAAGAAATTCCTATAACTCAAACTCAGATCCTAGTCATTTGATTGGTCAGAAATTGCCACAGAATGTACACTGACCAATGAAAACCATGACCTTTGAGACAGAACTCTGAAAAAGTTTTCTAACATTGAGGCCAGAATTTGGAATTAGTAATGATGATCGGAAACTACCAAACTTACTCTAGATCAAGAAGGTCTCTACAGGCAACCTGGGTTTTATTCCAATTCCAGTTGTCGCTGGAAACTTGTTTCCATTCGCCATCATGATTTGTTTCAAGATCTGCTCTTACAAACTTTTTGGTTTCATTTTCATTTCTAAAACGAAATCCTGTAATAAGAAGCAAAATGGAATTTACATGTTATTGCATAGTGTAAAAAACCATGAAGTTTTCATCATGGGCATGTATTGATTATTCGGGACAGAAATATCTTATATATAGTTTTTGATGTATTTGGAACTTTTTTCACCATTACCATGGTTAAATGTTGAATTCCGTTTATGCCAGTGCTAGGAACTTGAACATTCAATAACCGTCCATGAACAGACTCAATCAAACCGAGCCTGCAACATATTAATTTTTGTCTCTTTGTTCGTTCTTTAAGGATTCTTTATTTCTCTCTATTTGCATAGAGAGTTTGAAATTTGTAAAAGACGTGGAAGGAAAAAATACATTGATATATCAAATTAATTCATTTCGTTTAATTTCAGAGAGTACCTCACCAACACATTTGTTAATTTTCTTGTCCCATTTTAGATTCTGCTGACACTCTGCACTACCCCCGCCTTTCATGCCCTTGGGACACTTTACGATATTCACAGAGCCAACGGTTCGACCGTTAAAAGTTCCCATTTTCGGTAAAGGACACACGGGTCGACCTAGTAAAAATGAAAGAAAAAATATGTTTAACAAATGTATAGATAAAATTACTTACTAATATTTTTCATTAATCTGACTGCACCCTTGAGCAGACTGGTCTGGCTCCACACTACTTAAAAATGCAAATATGACCGCTAACACACCAAAATGTATTTAACCAAATAATCACTCATTCCAACGAGTAGATATAGTTTTATGTCTGCTTTTTTATATAACATCATTTGAGCCGCGCCATGACAAAACCAACATAGTGCGTTTGCGACCAGCATGGATCCAGACCAGCCTGCGCATCCGCGCAGTCTGATCAGGATCCATGCTGTTCGCTATCAGTTTCTCTACTTGTAATAGGGTTGGTAAGCGAACAGCATGGTCTGGATCCATGCTGGTCGCAAACGCACTATGTTGGTTTTGTCGTGACGAGGCTCATTTTATTTTCGAGACCAATTACAAGAATTAATACATACTAAATTGCATGCAAGAGTACGAGCATTTCCCGTCATCTGAAGACATCAAAAGCGACTTTGGTATACACACCTCGTTGTCCTTGCAAGGACGACTGTAGCACATTTCGTCAACCTTGCAAACACATAAATGAAATTAATAATTCAAAAGGTCTATAAAGGCCAAGTAATGCTTATTTTTCATTTCTCAATAGTGTTTTTTTTATTTTAATTTTTTTGTGTGTGTGTCCTGTTATAGTTTCCAAAAATTTACTAATTGGTCAATAACATTGGACCATCTTTCACTATGCAATTACAATGTAGACTTTTTATATTGTATGGAAGTCAATATAATACTTTTTTTTACATTTAGCTTCTTTTATGACAAATCATTTGACTTTCATCGATACTTTCTTAAGATGATAAGGTTTTACTGTTATCTAAATACCTTATTTAAACGCTACAACACTCATGTTTGCCCTTTCTAAGAAAGGAAAAAAATATTTGAGCCGTGTCACGACAAAACCAACATAGTGCGTTTGCGACCAGCATGGATCCAGATCAGCCTGCGCATCCGCGCAGTCTGATCAGGATCCATGCTGTTCGCTTACAAACACTATTACAAGTAGAGAAACTGATAGCTAATGCTAATTATGTTGGTTTTGTCGTGACGTGGCTCATTTGTTTCTTAAGCAAAATGTGACGTAAATAACAAAACCTAATCAGGTTTGTTTGCGTCAATGAAATTTTTCAAACTGTAACACAACTGTGACAAATACAATAATACCTAGATAGAATAATACCTATAAAACCTAAACAGAATGCATACTCTAACAAAACCCAAAAATGAATTTATTTACGAAACAGTTTGCGAATCTAATTGCCTCTTAGTTATACATATTAAATAATTTTTATGTGAAACGTGTTTATTTGTTATGAATAATCCTATAATTAAAAATAAAATGTAAAAAAATCTTATTTAAGGAAACAAAATAATTTTTTAAAAACCTCCGGAGGCCACGACTGGAACTCGGAGTAAACGTTGGAATCTGATGCCTTTTGTGTCCCGTGCCTCAAGTTATTGTTTAACTCACACATTCTTGTTTTCAGATCAAAGTTGATAGACTTGCATTGACTTTGTCGTACACATAGTTTCATGCAGTGTTCGACGCTCAGCGTCTTTGCGCCCCAAAATTTCGTAGCACCTATTCCCTGTTTTATGAATAAGATATTTTTTGATGCAATCAAAAACAATTGTCCCAGTGCCCCGCTTGCAGTGTTAAAAAGAAATTAAGAAAAGACACGCGAAACCAAGTAAACGCGTCCATTTATGGTGATCCGCTAAACCTACCAATTTTTTTGTTTAAATGATATCTATGCAGGCATAATATCCAGAGAAAGTAAATAATTAGAAGAAACGTTTTACTATGCTATCAACATTGAAAAAATAAATAATTATGAAATACAATTCTTATTTAAATGTACCAAATGAAAAATATCAGTTTTGCCGTGAAATTATCGATTTGTAAAATTGCCAAGCCGTTATCGTGGCATATATATCTACACGGGTTTGTCAATCACTGCAAGATGATTTCCGTAACTCGTTCAAACTGTACTAACATAGCCAATCTATCAACAGAATCAGTTTGCTTATACCAATGCACATATAAACATGCGTGTAACATTAATATTTATTAGCAAAAAACAAAACTCGTAGTCTGGATGTAATTGCAAACATGTTTTGAAAAGTTTAATGACGCTTATCAGATTATCTAGCGTCGCAAAAGATAATATGAGCCGCGCCATGACAAAACCAACATAATGGGTTTGCAACCAGCATGGATCCATATCAGCCTGCGCATCCGCGCAGTCTGATCAGGATCCATGCTGTTCGCTTATCCGTTTCTCATACTTGTTATGAGGGGTTTTGTAAGCGAACAGCATGGATCCTGATCAGACTGGCGATGCGCAGGGTGGTCTGGATCTAGCTGGTCGCAAACCCATTATGTTGGTGTTGTCATGGGCGGTTATAAATTATAAAAGGGAGTACCCTTATGCCATTTGCAAACAAGTTTAAAATACAGACACTGTTATTTGAGGTTGTTTTATCGGCAAATGGCTTATCAACCTACAAACTGGAGAGAGCTTCTTATTTGCCTTCTGTTAAGAGCAACAGACATTGCTTTGACATACATGCTATATACATGCATGATATGAGGCCGCGTCACGAAAAAATAAACATAATAGAGGTTTGCGACCAGCATAGATTCCAGACCACCTGCGCATCCGCGCAGTCCTGATCAGGATCCGTGCTGTTCGCTTTTAAACCCTATAACAAGTAAAGAAACTGATAGCGAACAGCATGGATCTTGATCTGACTGCGCGGATGCGCAGGCTGGTCTGGATCCATGCTGGTCGCAAACCTATTATGTTGGTTTTGTCGTGACGCGGCTCACATTTATGTTTTTTTTTGTTTTAAAGAGAATCAAAGTTTGATAACATCGTAATGTATCTGTATAAAATGTTTCTCTTCATTCTTGTAAGAAATAAAGAAATTATGTATTGTACAGTTATCGAAATATGGTACATGTATGAGGGTTCGTGTTACGAGCCATTTGATCTTTACAGTGCGGAAGTTTGAGAACACGGACAAATGACGGAAAGTCGACAAATGGTAACGTTTTTGGGTATTCGACCTTTCGCAACTTTCCATACCACACTAAAGTGCCCTTTAATATTTTCCAGTTATATGCGAAACTGTAAAGAGGCAAAAACAAGTAAAAACCTTACCTGAAACAGCCATAGAAAATGCTCCTTCATGTTCGATGTAATAACGAATTAGTTAGTCTTATGTATTGAGTATTGAGTACCGCTCAAGCCCGGGATAGGGTGGCGTGAGGGATGTTGCAATATTCATTTTCATCATGTACAGGACTCAATCAAACCGGTCTGCACTTTTCATCTAATTTTGTTGTGATAATGGCTTCTCGAGGGATATTTTGTTTTTCAGAATTACATGTATGTAGGACTGATTTTGATTAAAAACAGTTTGAACAGCTTTAGTTATGAACCATTGAAAAGTATTAACGACTACGCTCGGTCTGGTATACGTTCTGTAGAGAAGCTTACGTCGAAAAGGACGTTTAAGCAGCCATTGCTTTAAATAAAACTAATATATCGGAAAATCGTGGTAAGTGAGCCATGATCCTCTTATACCGTATCATATAAATGCATGTGCTAACTATAACACACATTTGCAGAGCCTATAATTATTTGCATGTTTGTTTTTATAAAATAAGAATAAAAAATGAACAGACGACATTTTTAAAGGCAAGTGTCTTGATTGAAAGTTTATAACTTACGAAAACACAATGGTGATAAGTCGGAGGTAATCTTGTTTTGTTTGGTGTTGTTTGTTGTTTTTTTGTTTGTTTGTTTTTTGTTTGTTTTTTTTTGTTGTTTTTTGTATTTTTAATGTTGTTGTTTTTTTGTTCTTTTTGTTTTTGTTCTGTTCTTTAAAGAGAAATATTCACTACTATTGTTTACCCGCAGATGCTAGCTCACTGGTTTTTGAGCTTCGGTACATGAAGACAGAGATTCATTTCTATAAATAGGCAATCCGAATAACGTGTTCTGTAAATCCGTTTTTGAAGTCTTTTTGTCGTCCATTTCGAATATAAATTTGTTTCATTCTGACTGGCTTTTTGAGTAGTCATGTACGGGTAGAAATTGAAGCTCTGTGGTGACATTATAATTACGCTTGTACGAAACTAGATTAAAGTAAAGAATTGTATCCGTTGAATGATCAACAAATAGTAATTTAAAACAATAAATTGAGTTAGTTCTTGTTGATGATATAAAATTGCTTTTTTCACCAGCGATATCCATTTCGTAGATGAATAGCCAAAATACATGGCGCTATAATACAAATGACCGTGTCACGACAAAAACAAATAATGGGTTTGCGACCAGCAATGGATCCAGATCAGAGGTTGTTATAGGGTTTGTAAGCGAACAGCATGGATCCTGATCAGACTGCGCGGATGCGCAGGCTGGTCTGGATCCATGCTGGTCGCAAACCCATTATGTTAGTTTTGTCGTGGCGCGAATCAAATAGGTTTTCATTTTTCACATTTCTGAATTTTTAAAATATTTACCTCCCTTTCCATTTGAAGAAGCAGCCATTTTTTGGGTCAATTATTGAATAAATTGCATAATAGTTATATGATATACAAATACATGTTTCAAACAGCTGATTCATGTGGATTGTCACATTCTTTTATACTTCTTTTATCATTATTCTACCAATATGTCAAAGGATTGTATCAGTTGTCACTAAGATGATAGAATTATGATAGAATTTTATCTTACATATACAATTTACATGTATGGCTATGATATGATCATGTAATGTGACTAATATTTAAATATATTTAATTGATTGTATTGTGTAAGACAATGTATTTTGTACCAGTCTGAAATAAAGTTTCCGCTCTGTTCTGTTCCCATCAATGTTTATGTGTGAAATATAATTTTTTAATCCCATATATTTTAATCATTTAAATCTAAACCTTAGCGTTTTACTCATTTGACAACCAATATACAAATGTATATTAATAAAGCCTGAACGAAATCAATTAAAACCCGATGCATATTTCATAGCTTTTATTGCTTCTATTCAAAGTTTTACAAGTTTATTTAATACTCAGTTCATGAATAACATGCAATATGAGCTATAACATATTTACATAATAAACTATAGAGGCATATGACATGCATAGACATATCTCGTATTTTCATACGAGGGAGAGACATTTTGTATTCCATATGTGTATATTAAATAACAATAATGTTAGCAAATAATATGCTTTGGCAAAGAGAATCAGTCATATACTTCAAATAACATGAATTAAACTCCGTTATTAATGATAGTTGTTAATATTGTTAATAAGCGACAAATCTTTATAGGCAAGGCACACATTTTTTGTAATAATTCTAAGACGTATGTACGGCACCAATAAATGTAAAACAGGAACCATTTTGATAAAATGGTAGGCACCATATGGTCAAAAAAATCGGAACTCAATACGAAAATTTTTGGCCGTTTTGCCCTGCACCAAATGTCAGTATTTTTCGGTACCAGATGTAAAATATTTTTTTGATATGCACCAATAGAGTAAGAAATGAATGCACCATATTCGTAAAATTCAACACACCAATCACTTGGAGTAAATATATAGAGGGTAACTAATTTTCTGTAGCTTATAACATAGTCCTTATCATTATTATCATCATCATCAATCAATGATCATCATCATCATCATCTCAACGCTGAACTGATGCCTTACCTATCTGAGCTAACCCAGTTATTCAAATTAGATTAGTTGATAATATTAACCTTAAAGAAACCTATCGTCTCCATATTGTAATACACAACTTTCTTTATTAGAAAATTATGACAGTTAAGACATTGAATTTTCATCTAAAGTGATGTTTTTATTTCAATTTCTCAATAAGATATTGTTAACAAAGCATTCCAAATTTCATATGTAGCTTAAATGTAAAAAGAGTAAGTAAGTAAAAATAATTAGTTTTTCTGTTTTAGGCGGGCCCTGCTTTTCATGTCTTATTATACATGGATGTTTTCTGTTTGCACGTTCTAATTTGTGACGTTTGCAGGTCCTTCAGCTTATCGTTTTGCTATACACAATATATTGTGCAGTCATACACAACAAACGCCAGTAAGTACATGTAAGTTGCTATATGTACGGTAAAATCCTCATTAGTCTTGAATATTAAATTAGAGGCAAATTATCTTTTTTAACTATTTAAACGCGCAAGCGAAGCGAGCGCTTGTAAAATTGATGTTTAATAATGGTGCAGTGACATGCACAAACAATATTTTAATTATTTTTGCAATAATAATTATAAATGATTTCAAAATATTTTTTGCAAAAGGAATAAGACTTTTTATGTTTTTTAATGAATAGATTATAAATTTTATTTTGGTGAGAGATTGCTTATAAATTACGTTAAATCGTCGTTTATAAGCATTTATAAAGTATACTATTGAAAAGAAGATATAACAACGAGATAAAATAATGTCAATATGCGGTTTTCGTTGTTGAAAAAAAGAGTTTTATTGCACCACACCATTGTTACGGCACCATATGTAAAACGGCACCATTTGTAAAATGGTGCACCATATGTCAACAAATCGGAACCAAATGCGAAATTTTTTGCCGTTTTGCCCTGCACCAAATGTCAGTATTTTCGGTACCATATGTAAAATATTTTTTGATATGCACCATAAGTAATAAAAGATGCACCATTCGTAAAATGCAAACAAAATCACTTGGAGTAATATATATGGGTAATATTTTCTATACTATAATATAGTCTTATCATTATTATCACCATCGTCGTCGTCGCCAGCACCAACAAAATCATAATAATTATAATAATAATAATCATCCTCATAATCATCACCACCAGTAGCAATTGTACGTACGTCTTGTTGTTGTAAAATAAGCAGTATTACCTTTTAGCAGTAGAACTAGTACAATAAAGTAATAGTGGTGGTGGTGGTGATTGTGGTGGTGGTAATGGTTGCAGGTGGTTTTGTTAATGGCGGTTTTTTTGGCGGCGGTAGCAGCAGCAACAGCAGCAGCAGATTTCCATCAATTTTTTTTTATTGAAAACCAAAACAATAGTTTCTTTCTTCTAAATTTATTGCAATAACTAGCAAAACTGTGACTCATAACATCAACATGAAAAAATTCAGATAAATTCGTGAAACAAAACTTTAGAAACGCAGTTGCAGCGAAGTAAAGTATCATTTATGTAGATGTAACAACCAAAAAAAACGTCTTTAACAACTAAGATAACGTTGTTGTTGAGAGACCAGTGTCCAAATGCATCTTTCCTTAACGGTGCTTAAGTAATAAACGATTTAATTTCATATCAACAGTAAAATAAAGAATACTCTCGGACAATGCTGTACCATCAGTTTTAGTGAGGTAATGAAGTAAGATGTGTGTACATGTAACGACATAAAAAGGCATAAAACGCTGACGCCATAGTCATGGCATACTAAATTAAATTTTCTGTGAGTAAACTATCCATCTCTTAAAACGGAAACTCTAGCAAAAAGTGCTTGTTTCTATTCCATTACAAAACACAAATATACAACAGTTACTTTCGAATTTCTACTTTCACATTTACAAATGTCATGCTATTCAGTGCCTTTCTACTGAGCAAAAACAATTTTATTTTTTATTGTAAAAGATACTTTGTAGATAGAGTAATTGTCTTCCAACTGTTTTTTTTTACTAAAAGAAGTGTGTTTAATTCTGTGTATCGAAGTATGAGTGTGCTATGTTTCAACTGTACATACATGGTGCAATAAAACTTCTTTTTTCAACAACTTAAACCGCATATTCACATTATTGTTATCTCGTTGTTATATGTTCTTTTCATAATATACTTTATAAATGCTTATAAACGACGATTTAACTAATTTATTAGCAATCTCTCACCAAAATAAAATTTATAATCTATTCATTAAAAAAGAACAAAAAAAGTCTTATTTACTTGTGCAAAAAAATATTTTGAAATCATTGATAATAATTATTGCAAAATAATTAAAATATTGTTGTGCATGTCACTGCACCATTATTAAACATCAATTTTACAAGCACTCGCTTCGCTTGCGCGTTTAAATAGTTAAAACAGATAATTTGCCTCTAATTTAATATTCAAGACTAATGAGGATTTTACCGTACTTACAGCAACTTACATGTACTTATTGGCGTTTGTTG